AACGGCCTCTTTAAAGTTCTGCTTTCTCAGAAATTTCTGCTCCTGTTGTTTGTAAACCAATGAATTATCTGGGAAGTGGATGTGGAAACAGATTACCGAGTGGTAATTACACGAGGCTAGGTTTCTAGAAGAGCAAGGGTCAGGAGAGCCTCTTGTACTGGAACCCAAGTCAGGACTTGATCCTCCACCTCCCTGCTTAGAATAAGAGTACTGGTGCTTTCTCCAAGCCTGGGAGTCTCCCCAGCCCAGCCCAACAGCTACAGCAGCCATTTTCCTAGCTAGGACCCCGTAGGCCTCTACCATGCCATCCCCAGAGCCCCCAAAGCTAGTCTTCACTGTAGGAGCCTTCTCTGCAGAAAATCCATGCCCTTTTGCTGTCTGACACTTGCTTTGGACCAGGGCTGGAGAGAGCTGCAGTTCACTGTCATTCTTGTTGTCCCAGAGCCATTGGGTAATATGATGTCTTTCAGGCCAAAGCTCTGCCCACAGGCTGAAGAGGAGACTGTGCTGGGAGACTGGACTATTTATTCCAGGCACATGGCATCTTTTGCAGGGCTGGACTAACACACTTGTGAGATCCCACCTTTCCTTCTCATCTTTCATCATTTTATTAAAAGAGTTGGAGTTTGGGGGACAGAAGGGTGGGTCTGGACCATACCCAGTGAAGCTGCAGGAGGTGCAATGTCAAGTTGGCCAAGGTCTTCCTGAAATTGCAATCTTTTCTTCTTGCCTCAGCCCACCCTCACGGAAAGATGGGGAAATCAGATAGGAGAGAGGTAAGTGAATGATTGCAAGGGATGAATGTGCTGTTAGGTTTCCCCTAAATAGCAGAAACTAAGATCTTGCAGTGGTGCCCACCCCTGAGGCTTGGCCCTGGCCCTAGGCCCTCTGTCACACTGCAGGGGCTAGGCTATCTGCTCCTCCTGCTGTGTTCTCAGAAGCCCCGTGGCCAGTAGTACCCAGCAGGGCAAGGCCACCAGGGACCCCCTTGTCCTGTCCTATCAGCCTGGACTTCTGGGTACCATGAAGCTACTTTCCTGGCTCTTCTCCAAGGTGGTTTCTGTGACCATGAGCCTTTTTAGTGTGGTGAGTTGTACTCACCAGGTGGATGAAGTATAAAGCACATACTGAATTTTGAAGAGTTGGTATTCTAGTTTCGGTTCTGGTGCTATGACAAACATGCTGACAAAAAGCAACTTAGAGGGGAAAGAAAAGATTTTATTTGCTTACAATTCCAAGTTACTACCATCGTTTCAGAAAAGCGAAGGCAGGAACTCAAGCAGCTAGTGACATCACACCTGTACTCAGGAGCAGATACAGAAATGCATCCTTGCTTACTTACCTATCTGCTGACTTTCTCCTCTCATGCTTTCCAGGCCTGCTTCTGCCTGGTTTCCACTGCTACAGCACAGTCTCTGAGACTGTATATTAATGTCATAGTAAAGAATTGAGGTTCATTGGGCTCACAATCCTGGAGACTAGAAGTCACCAGTTGATTAGCTTCCCAATGATAATCCCTTTACAAGGATGGATCCCTCACCATGAGAATTCCTCCTCAATGTCCAGTTAGTGGGTTACTGAATACGGTTATACCATATCATAAAAGTATTCCTAAGAATAGGTTAAATGCTAAAAACTATCTTGGGTAGGTTAGTCTCTGGACCAGCCAAAAATTCCTATACAATGTGTCCCTGACTAAAGTCTATGAGAACTGCATGGCCACTGAACTGCTGTCTCTCTGCTTCTGTAACCAGTGCTTGCTTGCTGCATTTGCCCACAGCTAGTTTTCTATATACATCACAATTGCAGGTTTGCCTTTAAAAACTCAAACACGTTGGAGGTCAAGGCTGCTTCCCACTACACTGCCTTGGACAGCCCAGCCAGTACCCCACCAGCACCCCTCAGCACCATCCACTTGATGACCAACCTCAAAATGAGCTCTGGTGAAAATAGCCACACCCAAGCCACTGCCATATCTCCATGTCTCCAGTGGCCAAAAGGGGCTGAGAACACTGTGTAGATCTCACAACCACAAAGTATGCCTCGGGGACAGGAAAGAGTGAGTATGCCATCCCATACACACACCTGAGTCTTGCCCAGAAATATCCAGCCCTGAGGCCAGGACCTCCCCTCAGCTTCCCAGTTACCATAAGGCCACATTCACCTTCAAATCAGTCTGCTGCAGTACTGCTCCTCATGTGAACAGCTGTGGGGGTCAAGAGTCTTTCCTTGTAGTTGCCAGGCGGTGGTGGCATGGCGCACGCCTTTAATCCCAGCACTCGGGAGGCAGAGGCAGGGGGATCTCTATGAGGTCGAGAACAGCCTGGTCTTCAAAGAGAGTTCCAGGACAGCCTCCAAAAGCCACAGAGAAACCCTGTCTTGAAAAAAAAAAAGTAGTCTGTTCTTGTAGTCAGAGTCCTGCTTGAGAGGTGATACGCAGAAAGGAAACAGATAGTATAGCATGTACTGTGGAAGACTACGCCAGAAACAGACAGGCCTGTTTGTAGTTTTCCCACAACGTCAGATTGTATTGACTGGCAGTAAATTGACTAGCTATGTCAGTTTTATTTGCAGTCATTTGCCAAATGAATCTTATTTCCCTCTCTGTCTGTCTCTCTGCCTCCCCCTCCTCTCTGCCTCCCTTCCTCTCTCTCTCTCTCTCTCTCTCTCTCTCTCTCTCTTTCTCTCTCTCTCTCTCTCTCTTGTTTTTTTG